CTTAGAAATCTCACTGGGTGAGCCAGTTGCCAATTAGTAATTTTCTTGAGGTGTATAAACGAACGTAGAAGTCCCGTTAGGTGCCTGGACCTAAAATTCCTTGTTGTATGTATTTTAGAGCGTGAAACTTGAGGCGGGACTTGTGAGTCCCGTCAGTGGGGAAAGGGTTAAAAATGCATATACAGTAGAACCTCAGTTAGCAAAGGCTCCAGTTAACAAAAAAATTGATTACCAACAAAGAATTTTTATTACATTTACCTCGTTCGGCAAAAAAAATTCACTTATCGAAAAATTAGTGCATCATCGGTCGTCACAAAATTGTACATAGAATGATATATATAGAATTGTGCACCGGGCATCATAGAATGAAAAGTAATTGACCTAAACTATGATTTATTTCTTCAAAACATATGATGGTTGTCGCTAAAACATTATTTTCTGTTTCAGGTATGTTTTTCACAATTTTTTTTGCTATAGTGAAATCACTAGACTTGATTAAAATTGTATGAAATTACAAACCATCCTGTAAGCTTAGCTTACAGATACAGAAAAAATGCTATATGACTGCTGATATGAAGCTTGCAGTGGACAAGGTCATTGTCAATGCTCAATGGCATGTCCATGAATACAGTAATATCACATTAATAATACGGTAATTAATGAATATGGTAATGTCATATCAATAAAGGAAAAACTAGTAAAAAATCACAGAAAATGTCATTTATTTTACATCTGCATCATCTACAATGAAAGAGGATGACTTTACAGTACTGTTAGTAATGGATAAGTAGGTACACTCAGCATGATTCAAATGTTTAAAATTGAGTTTTATTTTAAGTGTCCCTTTTTACCCATTTCAAGATTACTTCAGGAGCCTTTTATATTGCGTCTAGCACCTCACAAATAGCATATGGAATTTTTTTGGAGATGCCATAAGATAGCCCTTGCAAAGACCTTTAACCCTTTTGTGACGGCAATGTGTTCTACAACTTTTTATTTGTATTTTTCTACAGAATCATCATGAAATTGGACCGAATATTGCATCTCCGTAAAAAATAATTAAATATATGTTAATGGTAAAAATTATATATTTGGGACTAGAAAATCCCGGTAGTATATGGTTCCAACGTAGGTGACACAATTTGCGACATCCCTGATTTTGATAAAAAAAATATTTTCGTAATATTTTTTGTTAGTAGTTGAATAATATCACAAACTTCCTTTGGCAAATGCGTGTAATAGCTTATATAATAACATACCCCAAAACCTTTATTAATATTCCTTTGGATTGGACATATGTAGGCGCAGGAGTGTTTCTAATATGTCCCTGTAGTTAGCTATGCCTTGAATTTAGCGCTACATGCAAGTTATAGAGTAAATCGTTGGGTGGGACATCACAGTCCCGTCAGTCAATTACTTTTGAGTTGACATGGCGCAGGAGTGTTACTCATGTGTCCCTGTCGTTAGCTATGCTTCGAATGGTACGCTGTACGGTATGCAAGTTATGGAGTAAAACATTGAGTGGGACGTCACAGTCCCGTCAGTCGCGAAAGGGTTAAAATGAGCCCAAACTTGCTTATGAAATGTTTCATGGTAAGAAGTTATTAACAAAATACGCTTAAAACCGTCCCTTTTTACCCCGTTTGATGGTACTTGTATTTGCTGATTTTAAGTGGTAAATAAATTAATAGATGATTAAGTTAGTTAGACACATAAAAACTAATTCCATTACAGCTTGGAATTAGACGCACACAGCTCATTCTGAGCTGTGTCGTATTCCGATACAGCTCACACAGGGCGTCAGAATTCGAACACAAAGCGTCGGAATTACAAATTATGGTTTTGAAGCGCTCTGTCTGCAAGTCTATGGACAACACACAGCGCATTTCAGTGATGTCGGAATTAGTCACACACAGTGTCGGAATTCAGTAATTTTGTAGATTTGAATTCTAAAGGCTTTTAAATGAAAATGATGGCAGTTTGTGATGTTTCATCATTGCTGGCACATGTGTGGTGTTTTGAGAGTGACGTAAAAAATCAGAACTTGAGTTGTCCCTACGGGGATCTTTTTATAGCCATTCATTTCTTGCTACGTCCTTGAAGTGTCAGAATATGGTGTGTTTACCCTAATACACATTAAAGGCAACAAAGTTTATATTCAAATTTGTCATAGTACATTTATACTAAACCAAGGAATAACAATAACTCAAAATAAATTAAAGAATGCCACTCAATATATTTAAATGTATAAAAATTGAAGAAATCATGATTTTTTTATAAAAAAATCAAATGATTTAATCAGTTTGATTTACTCAATGCCAACCCTGTCTCTTTGAGATGCTAACACTGCTTCTTTCAAGCCAGCTTCAGTGGGCTGGACAATTGAGACCTTCTGCCCCTTGTGGGTGATGATTAATTAGAGATTTTGAAAATTGAGGCCTTCTGCCTTGCTGGCAATGTTATATTTTGACCTCCGGTGCAAAATAGCTTCCTAGCTGAAATGCCAGCAAACAATTATACTACTACTTCTACTTATGCTACATAGCAAAAAAATATGTTGAAGTTTATGCCACTATTTAGAGTTTTGGAATATTTCAATTCGTTTTGCTGCTATAACATTTTTATGCCATGACTGTGGATGGTCCCAATTTAACCCACCAGTTCTTTATTACCATCAACCAGGGCTACTCGGGACGATTTTGAATGTTTTTCATTCATAACTTCTTAGTCCAGGGTTGGTGATTTTTTTGATTTTTTAAAAAAAATCAAAAAAATCAAAAATCAATGATTTTTTTGATTTTTTTCATGATTTTTTTGATTTATTTGATTTTTTTGATTTTTTCAACTTTTTTGTCTTTTTTGAAGTGTTATTTTTTATGTTGCAATTAGCCTACTAGCAATAACAGTATATGGATCATAATTGATGGCTAAAAAGGGCACTTATTGCCTTCAATAATGGCCAACAGGCCAAGGTGGTGTTTAGGGATTTTTGGGTAAACAATTATTGATAAGTCTATTCATTAGCTTTGTAATGTTTTGTATGGAGCAAGGTAATGAGCTAAATATTGACCATTTAACTGGCTTCAATATACAAAAAAACTTCAGGAATGCAGATCTTCTAAACATTGAAGAGTCACATAACAGATAGGTAGCTGATAGCACAGTGCACAGCACTGTCACTAGATCTAATCTACTAGTTTTATGTCCTATAAATCTACCAGACTCTACCCTCTATACACACTGACTAGTATAGTGACTGAGTGACTGACTGCAGTGTTCCCATTTAATTCAGACCAATAAACCAATACTAAACATAAACTGAACGATAACCAAACAAACCTCATACGACTTGAAACGAGACTTAAGTTATGAGAAAAGCTAACACTGTTTGAAATAAACATGTGCACAATTCAAATATTTTATATCCATTCACTGCATTTAATTATTTTATATATAGTCTTGTAATTGTTTTATTTCTAGTTTTAAATTAACATATTTAAAGATTGAAATTAAATATTTGAATTAGAATACTCATATAAGGGTGGAAAATCTTTCTAATTGCCTAAAAGGTCAATACAATCTCAACCTCTCAATATGCAGTGTGGGGCAGAACCGATTGAGCAGTTTTGATGCAAAATAGAAGAGTAATGGAGGTACATAAAGAAGAAAGTTTATTTTCCTAGAGGTTAGCATAACATACCATTTAGAATACTTATGTTTCAAAAACGATATCTGGAAGATGGGGGCTGTTAGCTGCAACACACTGTTGGAGTCGTTCTCAGAGGAGGGAGTAACC